AGGAAGCTGCCTTGAAACTTGGAGTTCTCACTAGTGAAGAATTTGATGAGCTTGTTGTGCCGGAGAAGATGATTGGTCCTTCCGACTAATCGAAATCCAGGTAGAGCTTAAAAGTTTCAGGTAATAAAATGCATACTAGGATAAAGAGCGTCCTATGTGATTTTTAGAAGCATTATTCTTGTATTTAACTATTTTCTTAGTAGATGGCTGAGTCTTAATGGCGTTATCAGCAATGAGAAGCCAATAGGTTACTAATAAGGTCTCTTTCAATTTTGGAACCAATAAATCATGCCAAGTATTGGATCACTAAATCAGATCCTCCTTGCTATTTGTCTGGTAAGATTGGGAAATAATACTTGTACGCACTAGGGTGTACAAAAGGGTTTACACCCACCTTACATGGAGGGAGTTGCAAACCCGTAAGATTTGACTAAAACTGAAAGGTACTAAAAATTATACAGTGAGACATTCTCTAGCCTTTTCTTTCCAAGTTCCCCAAGTAAGGGTGTTGTTTTAGTTTTTCTATTTTGCGATTTTCCATTTGTATTTGAAAAAAGATTATTCCTAGACAATATATCCATAAATCCATTAGCTACTGCGTTCTATTGTGTAGTTTGATTTGATGCAAAGTGAAAGGCTTGACAAATCGTGAATCTTTTGGTACCTGTTTAACAACCATTAAAATTAGTTTTTTTTAGAAAAAAAAGAGTTTTGAAATAGTGATTTTTGTGAGGAGGTGTGATTAAAAAGTGTGAAAAATTTTAAATTTACGTACAAAATATTTTATTGTGAGAATGTGTGATTGAAAATGAGTGAGAAAAATAAATAAATAAAGGAGTTTTGTTTTTATGGTTTTCAGACGGGGGCTTAATGATTTTAATAATAATTCATAACTCAAGTCATGAGTAAATTATTGCCATGGGCACAATGTGTTAGAATTTATTTATCTTATCCATTGTTTGCGGAAACATATATTTTAATTGGTGTTAATATTTTAATATGGTTTAACTTGATTCCATTGAAACCTCCTGTTAGTTGTTACCTCTAAAATCACACTATTCCCTACAATTATTCTCACTACGTAATTAATTTGCCTTGAACCTGCTTTAAAAGAAAGAAGTAAAAATTGCATTCAACCTTTTCCTGAAAATAAAAAACAGAAATGCTAATGTACACACCTTTGTTCATATTCACTTTCACATCTCTCTCACATAGGAGGTGGAGCCCGTGATTTTAAAAATCGCACTCCACTTTCTATGTGAAAGGAATGTGAAAGTAAATGTGAACCAAGTGTTTAAATGTAGTATTACTCAATAAAAAATTGCTTTCGACCACTCACCCTCACATGCTAAGTTAATGATAATACGGTTAATTTTATTACAAGTAAATTTACTTATATGTAAATTCATTAGTTTTAAATAATCTTTTTTTGTTACTTTAAGTTCGTTTATTTGAATAGTAATGTACAAGTTAAACTTTTAAAAGAAATAAAAGTTTATACTTGAAATTGAAAGATAAATTTACCTAAGTAAACATATTGTTAAGTTAAATGAAAAAATAAATAAGCTACTTAGTCTACACCCATTTTAACCTCATTCTCATTCTTCATTTCAATCACACATTCTCCCATCAATCACCATTTCAAAAATTCTACTTAAAATTAAGAAATCGTTAAGAGAACAATTAAATTTACTTATGAGTAAATAAGTAAATTTTAAAATTAAAGTAACTTTTTGATAATCAAGTTTAACAAATAAGCAAGTTACTTTGACAAGAAGGTAATTTACTTCAAAAGTAAATTATCCAAATACATTTACATAAAAAATTACTTTAAGAGTAACTTTAGTAGCTATGTCAATGAGTCGAACCAAAAAAAAAAAAACTCAAACTCGACTCGAGCTTTTTTGGCCCCAAGCCGAGCAAAACCCGATAAAAAAAAATGAGGCCCGACCCCGCCTAAGCAGGCCGAGCCGACTCGGGTCTTCTCTCTGGCTTTTTTGGACTTTTTTTTCTTTAATTAAATTGAAGGCTGCCTGAGCAGCTTGAGTTGCCTTTGCAGGCAGCTCTTTTAAAAAAAATTTAAATGAATTTTTTTTTTAATAATGGGCAGGCTCGCCCCGAGCCGACACCCCAAAATGGGACTCAACCCGAGCCTCGCACCGAGCCCGATCCGGGCCCGCCGAGCTGCCCGGGCAGACGAGCTTTTTTACTATCCCTAAACTTCGCCCTTTTAAGCTTAGAAGAAAAATTGTCATAAATTATGTACAATATCGGACACACTACACCTAAATCCACTTCAATCCAATTTCCTCTGATCCTATCCTCCATAACCAATTCGGTGTACCGAACAAAATGTACTTGCTGCTTACGTGCAAAATGTGCCTCAAATGTAGGTGTATGTACTTGATCAAGTCTTCTACTGCATTATCTATGACCTATAATATTGGCTCTGGATCTCTATTCATTTAAGTGCAATACCCCACCTCTGCCTGAGTCCTATCCTCGACCATATTGCCACTTCCAAATGTCACTTCCAAATGTATTGACAATACGCACTTATGTACTAAGATGAAATCGATGAATACCTTGCTAATAAGATACAATAAGGATTCCCAGATTAAACACCAGCCAAACTCACTCCCCTAGCCTCCAAACCCTAAACCAATGGTTACACGGCACAACATTTCCCCACAAGCCTTGTCAACTATTCTTGGATAGATTGTCTGAAAGTAAATATCAATTGCAACCTTGAAATTTACGTTCAACAAATTCCAAGGAAAATCTATTTTAAAGTCTCATTGTGGAAGATGTAAGACTCAAAAGATGCTGTCTAACTCGTAGGAATTTGACTTCCCAATTCAGAATAAAGCTCTCCACCAAGGCCAAGATCAATCATACAATTGAAAAACATTTCATTTCCGAAAGATACTCAAGTAAAAGACAAGCCTTGTCTAAAGAAGCAAATGCAAATAGGAAAATTTAGAAAGACAATAACTAAATCAAAATATGACAAATTAGAGTGACGTATTTTAGTATTCCTTTTGTCCAGATTTAGATAACATAGTTTTATCGAAAGATAACAACAAAAAGGGGGGGAAACAAAGTGCCATACTAACAAAAACAGTGCCACGACATAATGCCACAAATCCTTAAAAGTTGCCATAATAGATATTTCACTTCTTAGCTTTCTTACTTCCCCTGCATTGAACATTTGAAAAGATCAGATCACAGTTGCAAAAACTTGAAGAAGGGATTGAAGCATATTCAGACATCACTTACTGTGCTGGCTGGGATGCAGGGGCTGCTGCAGTGGTAGGCGGTGGTGCTCTCTCTCCTGGCCCCTGAAATAGAAGGAGCAGAAACAATTTGCTCAATTTACATAAGAATGAAGCTCAAATACAAGACAAATTTCAGAGCTTTTTATCAAAAATGGTTCTTTATAATCCCTGACACTAGGGTGGTAAAAAACACATCCTGAGGTAAAGGAGAATGTGCACAATTGGTTAATGGTGCAAACTACCATATTGAGTTCTTCTCCACGTCTAGAGGAGACAAAGCCTTAGACATGCATGCACACACATACACATGCTAAACAATTGCACATGCAACTCATAGCCCTTGTTGTTGTCAAGTTCAAAGAAACTGCAGCAGAAGAACCAACTAATATCAAAGTAAGAGCTCAAGGGGAAAACATAATCACCTGGGCTAGACGTTCCTCTCTCCTTGCTATCTTCCTCTCCCTACTAGCCTTGTTCTTCGTTCTCCTAGCCTCAAACTGATCAGACAAGGTCTTCTCTCTGGCCTTCTCAGCCTTAGACTTGTGGATGCTCTCCATCAAAACACGTTTGTTCTTGAAAACATTTCCCTTCACCTTCATGTACATGTCATGATACATGTGTTTGTCAATTTTCTTCGACTCCCTGTACTTACGCAGCAAGCGCCTGAGGACCCTCATTCTCCGCATCCAAAGCACTTTTGTGGGTAATCTGGCCTCCCTAGTACCCTTACGTTTACCTGCAATTATTTGGAAGCATATTCAAAATTGGGCTTGTATTCTTCCCCTTCCCAACAAATAGCTAAACTAAACTGATAAGGAAACCAGTGCATGGAAGCACATTATCTTAACAATAAACAATAATATAATTTCTCAGTAGCAGTTGAAATTTTCAATCTAGGTTACCAATGCTGTGTTTAGGCACAATCTGCAAGCGATGTTAATTTGGGGACACGTACAACATAAAAATCGCTCGTCTCTGGCCTAATTTTTCAAGAAAATAAGATAAAGTTGTTTAATTTAATTTCATGGATAAATAAAATGACTGCCACAAGATCCATGTACTGATTTAAACTAAATTTAATTTCCCAAACTAACAGTAATTTGTTATAGCTCAAAGTATAACTACAATTCTAAAAACCAATAATCCAGAATTTACAAAATTCTCAGAGTCAGAAAACAGTACCATATCCGGAGTGACGTCCCTTTCTCTTGGCCTCCTTCATTCTGCGAGCACGGGATCGCGAGTGAATCTTGGTGGGCTTCCTGATGATGAAACCATCCTTAACCAACTTCCTAATGTTTTGTCCTGCATTTTTAGGTGTTAAAAATCTTTAATACCATTTCACAACACTAGATAGATACTAAATTGTGCCAAGAAAAAGAGCTGCTGATTTCAATGGTACAGAAAAAAGTGTATCAATTTAGAAACAATGCATAACACAAGTCAATAAATGGAACATCCAGCAAATTCTAGTTACTTATTCCAAATTTTATTGACATCATTTAATTACTATAACACAGTATTACAGTAGAGGGGTAAAGACTAAACTTTCAGATATTTTTACTAATTCTGTAACACATCTCATCCTCTGACTAACTACAAACACAGTTTACTAAAATTTCTATTCGATGCTTGAAGGTTCAGAAAATAGGGAAAACAATTGATAACAAGAATGTGATTGATTTGTCATAAGAATCTTCACAAGATTCAGTTTATATAACTAAAATTTAAAAAATTAATACATACTACTCTGTCAAAAAATTGAATAAAAACCACGTTAAATAATAAAATTCACGTTAAGATATAATTATAAAATAAGAAAGAATAATCAAGAACTGAAAAATCAATCACTAAAGCACGATTATTAAGAAGTTATTAAACGAATCAAATCGAGCAGATTTTCATAAAATGAAGCCAAAAGGCACTTATCATATGCATAAACATGCATAAATCTGTGTATGTATTTGTTATTGAGGGAGGAGGTGAAAGCGTACGGGAATTAGCCTTGTAGAGTTCATTGACTTCATTAGGGTCAAGCCAGACCTTTCTTTTTCCGCACTTAAGGACGCTGGCGGCAAGCCGCTTCTGTAGCTTCAGCGACACCATTTCTCTCTCTACCTCTCTCCTCTCTCTCTCTCTGGGTATTTTCGCAGCTGTGCGAATGGAAGGGAAGGTCAAGTGCGGTGGCGATAACCTTTTATACGTCACACGATTCGATCTAGGGTTTTGATACCATTTCTGTTTTCTATTTGGGCTATCTGTTATTGGTCCAAATACGGAGATTTATCTAGGGCTTCAAAGCCCAAATAAAATTTTGGCACATTTATGGGCCGGATCCGGAAACTCATCCGAATATTAGTTCAACCCATAATTATCAAAGAGGAAATTATATAATTCCAGGTATTTAAACTTCACAATTCAAAAATCAGGGCTGAAGTTTCATTATGTATAAATCAGGTATTTATAAATTAAATATTATTCACCCAATTTATTACAAACCCTAATAATTTCAATTCTCTCTCTCTCTCTCTCTCTCTCTCTCCCATTCTCTCTCTGCTTCTCTCTTTTCTTTCCCCTCTGCGCCGCCACCAGTTGAGACTCCGGCAATCGACGACGGAGCTACACCGGCCAATACATACTCTCTCTCCTCCCACAAGTGCCGCTACTAGATCGTCGCCATCTTCTTCCAATCATCGCGATGGGCGAAGCTCATCTTCACGTGCGGCGGTGAAGCACAACAACTCTGTTCGCCGCTGCACGTGGTGCTTAGAGCATTGCCCAATGCAAATCTGAGTCGACGACGGCATGATGAAGACGATCAGGTCAAGATGGTATAGCCGGGCTGCATTGTGCGACCACGCTGGTCAGCGGCAGTGGGCGATTTCTGTGTGTGAAAGTCGATTGTGTTGTTATGATGTGTACGGTAACGATAGTCGCTGGTGCGAAGGCAAGGCCAGCAAAAGAGGTGACCACATCTGTAACAATCAGGGTCCTGAACCAAGTCGAAGCAAATATTACACTTGAAATGTCCAACATCTGGGTTTGGGGGCTCCCTGCTTGTTGATTCCCCAAGCCTGCTCGCCATCTTTCACCCTCAAATTACTCGAATCTCCTACTACAAATTTAACTCTGGTGCGGTGGTAACGATGGTTGTTGGTGCAGCCGTGCAGGTGGTGGAGGTGGTCGATTTATGGCTCATGTGCGCTAATTTGTGTGAGTTCTGTAGTGGTGTGGGGTTGGGGACTTTTTTTCAGATGGATGCTGTGAAATGGTGGTGTGGTATTTGACCATATTAGGTGTGTGGTGGGTTGACAATGGTGGTGGTAGTCGACGGTGGTGGTGTTGGTGGAGGATCTGGCATATTTGGTGATTTTGATTTTGTGACTAAAAATATTATCTGTGACTTTACAATTCGATAATTTGTGACTAAAAATATAATCTGTGACAAACAAATTTTTTATCTGTGACCTAAAAAAATTCATGACCAATTAATTTGAAAATCTGTGATCGTGTGACCTATAAATTTTGATTTATGACCTATTAATATGGATATCTGATACTTAGTGACCTTTAAATTTTGATATCTGACCATTAATTTGAAAATTTGTGACCAATAAATAAAT